CGTGAGTTTTGGCTGAGGATGATCATCTACTAAGGAGAATGTCTTCACAAATTTTTAGCTCAAAAGGAGGATCCTAGGTGGTACTTGCTTTGCAAAGTACCACGCTGGACAAAAATATGAATGTTGGAGCTGGGCTCAAAATAATGAATGGAGTGAGCTGAAATTTTGTGGAGGATGGTTATTTGGGCATAGGAAAGCATTGTAGAAAATTGATACCATTTGGACATGCCAAAGTAGTACTTCCTTCACAATGCTCTTCTATGGACAAAAACTTGGGAAAACTCGTGAGAGAGATTGGATGAATGAAATGAGCTCAAAATTGGTGTAGGTAAGTTTCTATGGTATGGTCATGCGCTGGTAAATTTTCAGATCATTTGGGTAAGCCTAGCTAGTACTAACTTCACAAAGCTTCTCTCGAGGTAGAAACTTTGGAAATTTCCCGAGAAAGATTTACTAGGAAAATTGAGCTGAATATTATCATGTGGCAATGATTTGGGTATGAAAGAGTTCCCGAAAAGTTTGAGGGTAATAGGAGGGGTCTATATAACACTTGCTTTGCAACGTGCCAATTTGGCCATAAAATATAAATTGAACCTGAGCTCACATAGATGATTTGACTGAGCTGCAATTTGGAGGAGGGTGATAATTTGGGCATATTAAGGAACTGTATAAATTTCATGTCATTTAGAGATATAAAAAAGGTACTTCCTTCACAATGCTTCTAGGTGGACAAAAACTTTGGAAATTTGCCGAGGAAGATTTGCTAGGCAAATGGAGCTGAATTTTGTCATGCGGTAATGATTTGGATAGGAAAGTGCCCAAAAATTCCGAGGGCAATCAAGAATATATAAATAACACTTCCTTCATAAAGTATTGTTGTGAACAGAATAGGAAAATGAATATTGTTGAATTAGTTTTGAACTAGGCAAGGAAGGATTTTTACATATTTGATGAAGATATGCCCCAAAGAATTTATGAGACTTTTTTGGGAATTTTGGGAATGATAGAAATATAGGTTGCTTCACAACCTAGGGCAAAAACTGCCACATGGACATGACACATAGGCAAAACTGATGAGATGGCGCCTAGTCATCACAACCCACCACAATCTACAAGGTTATGACCATCTATATTGGTCATTAACAACTAAAAATAAGGCAGCAGACTAGCATTGTTTGCTTTGTGACCATTTCGTGTAAGGAAATTACGACCTTTTTGACCAAAATGGTCGCAATGGTTTAGGGTTTGGAGCCCCCTGAACAGTTTTTGACCAATTGGTCTAAAATGGTCATAAATTTATGACCAATTCTTCGAGGGTCACTGACAGAAGGTCATAAGTTGACATATTTCTTGTAGTGCGATGAGTCCTTAAGTGTGACATACTAGAGGTTGATTCTGCAGCATATAGCTTATGGCACCAGTTGCATATTGCCAGCCATTTCCCATTGATTCGCTCTTTCTACTATCACTGGCATATGGCCTCACATGACGTACGGGTATCCATTGGATATCCATGGAGCATAAACTATAACCGTGCCAACCCGGCTGTTCGTGGGTATCCATATCCACGGACCCATGGGCAGAAATGTGCTCCATACCCTTGCCCAACCAGGTCTGGTATCCATGGGTATCCAGATCCATGGATAAAATTGCCATCCCTAACCAGGGCCAGTCGCTCGCCCCGTGAAAGGAGAGTGGCCTTCCAAGTTGCTAGTTTCTTGGCCAGTCGCTCGACCAGGGGCATGAGAGCAGACGCGTGACACTTGCGGATGGATAGCGGCAACCCGAGGTATGTGATGGGGAAGGCGGCGACAGTACACGAGAGCTCAGTGGTGATCGCGGCGGCAACCTCATTGCCGCATTGGATGGCGACAGCGGAGCACTTAGAGAAGTTGGTGCGCAAGCCGGAAGCATCCCCAAAGATACGTAGCAACTCCCGGATGGAGGCAAGCTCAGGGGGGTCGGGGTGACAGAAGATGATGACATCGTCAGCAAAGAGAGAGATGCTCGAGGCGGCATGACGGGTGGTGAGCCGCTGCAGGATGCCTACGGAAACAACGTGCTGTAGCAGTGAGTTGAGCGAGTCGATGACAATAGCGAAGAGCATGGGGGAGATGGGATCGCCTTGTCGAAGTCCGCAGGCATGATCCACAGGCGGCCCGGGGTTGCCGTTGATTAGGACGCGCGTGGAGGCCGTGGATGTCAGGATGGAGATCCACTCGCACCAACGACGGCCAAAGCCAAGGCGGGTCAAGGTCTCAAGCAGGAAGGACCAGGCAACGGTATCGAATGCTTTCGCGATGTCGAGCTTGAGGAGAACGCGCGGTGCCTTGATGTTATGGAGTAGCCTTGCCGTCTGCTGCACGAGAAGGAAGTTATCGTGCACGCATCTGCCAGCGATGAATGCGCTCTGGTTCGTTGAAACGATTTCCCGCATCCGAGGAGCAAGCCGCAGTGCAAGAACCTTGGCGAAGATGTGAATCAAACTGATGTGAACAGTAAAAAATGTGTTATATACACGACACAGAGTTTCTCAGCCCGAGCTCAAATGAGCTCGGTGAACAGTAAAAAAATCTGAAATCTTTTTGTGAGAAACATTGACAAGGGTTTCAAGTACTTGCAAAAGTTCCTCATGAAATTACATTCCTAGAAGGCGTGGCAAAAAAAAATCGATACTCTAAAAGTGCTACTTTCAAAAGCATTTTGAAGCACTGATTTTGTTGTTTTTGCCACACCTTAAAGGAATGTGATTCCATAACGAATTTTTGCAAGCACTTGAAGCTTTTGTGAGTGCTTGTCACAAAAAATTCAGATTGTTTGAATGTTTTTTGAATTTTTTATATTATACTCTTCACCGAGCTCATTTGAGCTCGGGAGCGGAAGGACACTTTCCTTACATACACGACACTAGAATATATATATTTCGTACTCTATTTGTTCTAGTTGTAGGCATCGTTAAGAGATGACACTTAGAGTTGTCAAACTCTCAGTTTAATGCAGTTTCTATGATGTTGTTATATTAGAGAAAATCTTGAACCTATATTCTCGTCAATGGACTTTGGAACATTCTTAACTGGAATATTAGAGGTATTAATAATAGTGCTGAGTGATTGTCTCTAACAAACAAAACTGAAGAATGAAGGTGTACCATTCACTGTTTGTAGGAAACTAAGAGAGAATATATTTTTATAGTTCATATCTGAGAAATTTTTGCCCTAGAAGGATCAATAATTTTGAGTTTGCGCCATCGGTTGGGGCCTCTGGAGGGCTCTTATAACAACTTGGAATGTCTATCTTCTCCATGGGGAAAAATCTTGGTGAAAATCTCATCTTAAACATCTACCAACATTCAAACAAGTTGCTTGATGTCATCATGTGTAGTTGGATCTAGTGACTTTGTGTTGTTATGGCATGACTCTTGGCTCGAGCTGTGCAAAATTAGCCAGAACTACATCCCTATGCTTACAAATGACCATATCACATTAGCTGAGATGCACTCCTTTGAGAGTTAGCAGACAATTTTCAGACTCCAGCTACCCAGACATTCAATCGTTCCAATGAGCTTCAGGATCTTATTCTTCATAAATTCAGTGGCCATGCTATGGGCAAATGGATTTATCCTTGGTTTGGAGCAAGATACTCTTCTATCAAAATGTACAACAAGATGAAAGGTCAACACGATGCTCAAATTATCTTTAAATGGCCCAAAAGAGTGTTAGCATGCCCAGAAAGAAAATCTTCGTCCGGTTGCTCTTTCATGATATAGTTAATAACAGAAAGATGCTCAAAAGAAAAAAGAAAATACTATCTGAAGTGTAATGAATGTGTGTGTGTGCGTGTGCGCGCGAGCGTGCGTGCGTGCGTGCGTGCGTGCAATGCAAATTTTGAGGAAACTTACTTACATCTTAACCTATGATGAAAGCACTTTTGCTTCTCTTGAGTTATTCAGAGGAATTGCCATGGATATAATCATTTTAGGCTGCTTGAATATTTGGAACATTAGGAATGGAAAGATTCTTAAAAATGAGAACGCCTGGAAATTCTTTTTTATGTGACTCTTGTGGGGCATCGAGTGAATATGAAGTATGCTGAGAGTCTTCAGAATCTGATTGCAACGCATCTATGATGTTGTTAAGAGACAATGATTCCTACTTCATATGTTACCAAAAAATAGGCATTGGATAGTTTTTTTTATCTATGATGTTGATTTACGTTAATATAAAATACCTTAGAGCTATTGTTTACGCTTTGGGGGTTAAAAAAAGGCAATCTAGGTTTTTGTGCTTAAACGCTAAAGGAGCGTCACACGCATTCGGTATTTGTCTGTCTAAATGAGCAATGACAACCAAAATTCAAGTACAAAATCAGGAGATCCGCACAAAATGTACACACACAAAAAAAATGCCAACAAGCAAAAAAATCTTGTTTTTGGTAATACAAGATGGGGACAGGGCTGTAGCACTTTTTCTCTAAAACAAAAAACACGAGATCCCTGTAAAATTACTTGTAGACGTCGTTTTTCACAGATTATCGTGGCTCAGCGACAGGGTTGCCGTCACGTTCCCAAGACAGCATGGTGGTGGTGTTAAGGGAAGCAGACGTTAGAAAAATTTGGTTCCACAACAACGAACGGTCTTAACAACTGAGCCTCGCAGAAATAATTCATAAACATATTGTATCATCGCGTAAGAATAGATTCCGATCGAGTGTACACATACGTTACAAGCGTGGTGTAATTATTATTCGGGACAACTCGGCTACATATATTAAGTTCCAGTCTGCTCCTCTGCACGAATATAGTTCTAAGTTGCACGAGGGCACACCACGAAACGCACACTCGATCAAGACTAGCTAATTATAACAAAGACTAGCACACCACACTTGTTGAAGCGTCGATCATCCGGAATTTAACTACTCAAAATGTTTAGGGCTAAAATCTCGGCCGCCGGCCGGACCAGAATCACTTGGCGACGGCGAGTTTGCTGCTGCTGCTGCAAGCCTTATATGTCCACGGTGACGGAGACGTTGCCGGCTCCGGCGGGGTTGCTGGTGGGCAGCTCGACGCTCTTCTCCTCCTTGGGGGTTCTCTTGTAGTAGCAGCCGTAGAGGATGAGCTGCATGAGGCCGAAGAAAGCGCCGAGGCCATTGGGGATCTGCATGCATGAATGGCAGTTAGATCGATGAGGCAGAAAATTCTAGCTAGCTAGGTTTAATCGGTATACTTGTTTGAGATGTGTATATGTATGTATGTATGTATGTACTGACCGTGACGTAGAGGTCGAACTTGATGAGCGCGTAGGCCAACCAGCAGCAGCCGTTGAGGAAGTTAACCAGCGACAGGGTGAATGGCATGTACTCCACACTCTTGGTCTTGATCACCTTACCCTGCAATCAAGTATTGCAATCTTATCTTAGTAGTACTTACATCACCAGGTAATAAGAGCACACGTACGTACGTAGGTAATTAACAAGGCTGACTCATTGAATTCCTGATCTAAATATAATGAGTAGGTACACAAACTCACTGGTTAATTAACATCATAACTCATAGGTTTGGCAAGAGTGAAGGATCACAAGAAACAAAACAGAACATGCACGCACTATATCCATGCATGCATCCTCGGGGCATTGGCACATACGTTTGTGATGAAGTGCTGGATCACATGTTTTTAGTCATGTCATGAACGGCTCTTCCATGCGATTGCGGACCCGTCACTCCAACAGCTAACACGAGATTTTGGCGGCCGGGTGCAACAGAAAGTTTGGTTGGCTGGCTATAGCTATTTACACGGCATGCAAGTCCAGATCCACAAGGAAAGGACACGCAGGGGTTGCGTTACCTTTGAGCTTTTTTGACCAAACATGTGCACACAAAACACCATCTTGTGAAATAACTTGGATGTCTGAAGTAGATCTACGTAAATTGAACGGTGTGCATCTTCTGAAATAACTTGGGTGTGTGAAGCCAGACCCCTACGTGAATCTAGCCACAAAATACAGAAAATGTACACAAGGCAACATCTTGTCTCGTAAAATAATTTGTGTGTGGAGAGTACATCTACTGTGTGAGGTGAGCAGCATGCATTCATCTAGCCACTCAAAGACACTTGGGCCAAAGAGCTAGTAGATCCATGCATGCAGATTAACCACGCATGTCTTGTAAACGATGCATATTATCACTCTATACGACCAGAACGGCATGCATTAAAACACAACTAACAAAGTTCAAAACAAATGAAACGAAATAAAATAACAGCTGCGCCTCCAGAATTAAGAGCAAACGGATCAAGGGCTTAAAGCATGGATTAAAGAGTGCATGCATGCACACGTACGATCGATTCATGAGGAAGGAGGGTGTAGGTACGTACCATGATGGTGAGCGGGGAGGCGTACATGATGGTTCCGAAGATGACGCAGAGGATGCCGACGATCATGGAGCGCTTCTCGTGGGTGTGGGCACCGAGGAGCACGCCAAGCACGACGGCCACCATGAACGCCGCCTCGGCGGCGAGCACGCCTATCATCTTCAGCTGCAAGCACGAACGCACACACGCACGGGCATGGGTTAGGGCCAGGTCTTGTTCTATCTAGACGAAACCCAACGGGCGAGGGGATTAGATTTAGGGATGTGGCAGTACGTACCCGCTTGTTGTTGGTGGAGTAGAGGAAGAAGATGATGAGGTAGGATCCCTCGATGACGAGCCCGATCCCATTGATGGTGACGACGAGGATGCTGTTGGGGTGGACGATGGGGAGGCCGTAGAAGACCCAGAGCATGCAGTTGAGCAGCGTCGCCAGGTAGGGGTCCGGCTTAAACTCCTCCACGTCCTTGGCCTTGATGATCCGCCAGAAAACCGGCCTGCAACAACCACCATCCATGAATATAGATTACTCTAGACTGTCTACAAAAGAGGCGGCGGATTAGAGGAGGGGGGATGGGGGCTTACGTAGGGGAGAGGAAGAGGCCGAAGGAGATGACATTCCCGATGATACCGACGACGTTGCGAGCTGCGTCGGCGGAAACCATCTCGCTCGGGTCGCCGGGGCGGAGGAGCTGACGCGCTTGAGGAAGGAGGAAGGGTTGGTTGTGGGTTGGGGGCGAATGGGCGATCGGGGCAGAGGGAGGCGGAGCGTATATAGGCGCGGCGGCTTCCCAAGTTATCGTTGCAACTGATCTCAGTCAAAACTAATTAACTAACCGAGAGAAAAGGGCGGGAGGGATAAGCCTTGATCTCTCTCTCTAAGTTGCCCTGATCTCAAGGGCGCCCTATGTCTGGCATTGTAAGCGAGACAGGAGCGAACCCCATGCTGAACGGAACCCCGGTTGGGCCGGCTCACGCGCACTGGAAAGACCAGCCTGGTTTCTGTTTTGTTTCTTTCACGTTTTTATTTTAGTTTTTTTCTTTCTTTTTTTGAGAGAGAAATTTCCAATCTATTCATCATTCATGGCAGTACAGAGAACACAAGAGGTAATAAAAATTACAATCAGCTCTATGGACCACCTAGCGACAACTACAAGCACTGGAGCGAGCCAATGGCGCGCCAACGTCATCGCCCCTCCATCATCGGAGCCGCGCAAACCTTGTTGTAGTAGACAGTTAGGAAGTCATTGTGCTAAGGTCCCAAAGGACGAGCACACCAGAGCAGCAACCATCGCCGATGAAGGGAGTTGTAGATCGGAAAAATCAAGCCTGAAACCACACGAACGAAGACGAACAAAAACTGGATCCAAATAAATCCATCAAAGACCAGCACCGACCAAATCCCATGAGATCCGACGGAGACACACCTCCACACATCCTTCAACAACGCTATTCGCACCATCGGGACGGGGATGGGATGTCGGAGACATTATTGCTACCAAGGGACATCGCCGCCGCCACACAGCCCCAACCAAGATGTTCAGTCTAACAAAAATGAAAACAGGGTCCCTCCCGCCGGCGGGGGGCCAAGATCCTCCGCACCTCCACAGGCCAAATGCCATCGGAGGCGGGGCGGATCCGCGGCGGCGCCGACGGCAGGAGGAAGAAAACTTTTCTTTGCTGTGTGGATACTTATCCTTGTCAGAGGCCTAGTCCATCCGCACCTTTTATTTTTCTTTTGTTTATACTCTAAAATATTCTAAATATATATATTACACAAAACACTCTTCAAAAAATATTTGAAAGATCTTGAACAAATATTTTGAACATGTTGGGCAAGTATTTGAAAAATGTTGAACAAGTATTTCAAAGAATGTTGATCATGTATATAAAACTATTGAACAAATATTTGAAAAATATTGAACAAGTATTTGAGAAAGAAAAAAGTCCATTTTACTACCCCGAATAAAGTGGGTGGTTCACTTTACCTCCTCATCTTATTTTCGGCTTCTTCCACCCCCTAAACAAACCAAAACCGGACACACAAAAAAACCCTGGCCGGTTTGTCTTCACCCGCAGCTGATGTGGCAGTGGTCAACGGTGGTTTTGACTCGGTGGGGCCCTCTTGTCAGGTCGGGCTGGATAAAGATGCGGCACAGGTTCGATTCGAACCAAAAAATCCCCATTCCTCTCCCCTCTCTGTCGCCTTCGCTGGCCCTGTCGAGGCAGCGGTGATCTGAGGCGAGCAAGGCTGGTCGGAGTGCTGTTGGCGGCTACGGCAGCGGTGCATACGGAGAATCTTTCCCGAGGTGTTGCTTCTCCCACGACCGCTGTCCTGCCCCCTTCCTCAAACCCTAGTTCGATGCCTCCGTCGACGGGGCGGCGACCGATGCTGTAGGGAGGGGTCAGACTGGTTCCGCGACGGCGCAGACGAACCGAGGTGAGTCCCATCCCCTTCCCGCTCTACTTGCTGCAGTTGCTATAGTTGTTATCTGCTCTAGTTGCTGTAGAAAGTAGAAAAAGCTCATGTCTTTAGGTTCTAATTGTTCATTGCTTGCTGTAGGTTAAGCAATGGATGAGCTAGATTGGTTAGGCATTCATTTCTTTTACAATGGCCAATTTGAGAAGTCAAGGAAGTGTGTGTCATATGTTGGTGGTCATATGCAAGTCACACAAATTCAGAGGGACATTGTTACCATAGCAACTGTCAGGGATCAGCTTGCAGACATAATGATGGCTTACCATGTTCAAGAGCTTACTGAAAATCATAGGCTGTACTGGTGTTTCCTGGAAAATTTTTTAGAGATGGGCTGAGAAGGTCGGACACTGATGCTAATGTGCATTTCATGGACAGGTGCATTACAGATGGTGGTGTTGTGGATGTATATGTGAATTATGAAGATAATGGTGCTGAAGATGGACAGGACAGTGGGTCTGAAAGTGGAGAAGAGAAGGAACAAAATGATGTTTCAAATGCAGAAAAAGATAAGGCAGAAGAGAACACTGACATTGATTGGGAGGATGAGCATGAAAATTGCTCTGTTGAGGAGGACCTGGAGCATGAAAGTGGAGAAGAGAAGGAACAAAATGATGTTCCTTTAGTGGATGTTGCACAAGATGAATCAGTGATGAATGTGAAGATCTGGATTGGTGCCCTAGAGAGGAAGACAGCTCAGGGGAAGATGATGAGGCAGAGGAGCTCAGAAAGCATGCTAAGGAAGTGTTAAGAAAGCTCAGACATAAGTTGCCACTAGATGAAGAGAAGGAAGTGAAAGAAAGTACAACACAGATAATTCCTGTAGATGAAATGGATGAAGGAAATGACACCCCATACATGGATTCCAGTGAGGAATACAGTTATGATGAGGATGAGCATGGAAATTCAGTTAGGATGAAATCAAGATTTCCCAGATTTGATAGCAAGGCTGCAATTTCTATCTCCAGCCTAGGCATGACATTTAGGGGAAGAGGTCAATTCAAGAGGGCTGTTGTGAAGTATGGTCTAGCTATGAAGAGGCACATTTCCTTTGTAAAAGATGAGGCTGGTAGGATTAGGGAAAAATGTTCTTGGCCAAAGTGTCCATGGTTGATATATGCTGCAAAGAGGAGCTCAAATGAATGGTTTCAGGTCATTACACTTGTAGACAACCATATATGCCCACAGAGGAGAGACAACAGGTTGGTAACTGCCCCTAGAATTGCACATAAATATGAGAGAATCATGAAGGCCAATCCAGGCTGGAAAGTGAAATCTATTAAGGCCACTGTCAGGTTGGAGTTGTTTGTAGATGTGCATGTTTTCAAGATAAAGAAAGCAAAATCAATAGTCAGAAACAGAGTGTAACACCCCGGATGTAACTTTCCCAATTTGTACTCCAACTCTTGCCGTTTCCGGCGTTAAGTTATATTTATTTCCTCGGGTTCGGGTTTTTGTCTCCGTGTGTTGTTGTCATTGTCATGCATCTCATATCATGTCATCATGTGCATTGCTTTTGCATACGTGTTTGTCTCATGCATTCGAGCATTTTCCCTGTTGTCCGTTTTGCATTCCGGCACTTCGTTCTCCTCCGGTGGTCATTTTTAGATTTCTTTCATGTGTGGGGATTAAACATTTCCGGATTGGACCGAGACTTGCCAAGCGGCCTTGGTTTACTACCGGTAGACCGCCTGTCAAGTTTCGTATCATTTGGACTTCGTTTGATACTCCAACGGTTAACCGAGGGACCGAAAGGCCTCATGTGTGTTGCAGCCCAACACCCCTCCAATTTGGCCCAAAACCCACCTAACTCTGCTCCATCATCTAGAGCGTTCGATCACGATCGCGTGGCCGAAAACCGCACCTCATTTGGACTCTCCTAGCTTCCCCTATGCCTATATATACACCCCCCGTTCCAAATTCGCGGATCCTCTCCCCCTAACCCTAAAAAAAAGA